CAGGCGCCCCAGTGAGCATCTTCTAAATGCCTAGGACATGAAGCAGTTGTGTAGTTGTATAAGAAATTATAAATCATTGTTAAAGATGAGAGTTGGGGGGGGTTGGAGGGACCCCCTGTTGGCTTTGAAGAAGTAAGCTGCCATATTCTGAGAGGGCCTTTGGAGAAGGCCCCCATGGCTAGGCTCTTGAGAGTTGCCCTCTGCTGACAGCCAGCAAAAAAAATGGGGACCAAATTCTGCCAACGAGAGGTAGCTTGGAAGACACTAATCAGCTCATAGCATAGAGGAGGGCACACATATTACCAGTACAGTAACTTCTCTTTTGTAGTTATGGTACCTGGAATTGTGGACTATAGCTAGAGGTTTATCAGTTTAACCCCAAAGTTTTGGCACAACTCATCAATGCTCTCTCTTATGCCAGTTCTGTTCATCATTGTACTGGAGGTACAAGACTGCAATCAGAACAGAAGGGGAAATAAAAGATATTCAGATGTGAAGGAAGAAGTAAACGTTGTTTGCAGGTGAAATGATCATGTTTGTAGAAAATCCTAAGGAATCTACCCTTGCCCCCTGCCCCCCGCCAAAAAATGCAGTAAGTTAGATTAGCAAGGTTGTAGGGGACGAAGTCAGTATGCAAAAATCAATAGCATTTCTACACACTAAAATTTAAAACGGGAAATTGAAATTTAAAAAGACATATTATTTGCAATAGCATTACAATCATGAACTTATTAGAGAAATATATGTGAAATATATTTATATATATATACACATACATATATGAAAAACTGGTTCCATAAAAACTATAAAACAAGGTCGCCTGGTGGCTCAGTCAGTTAAGCGGCTGCCTTCAGCTCAGGTCATGATCCTGGAGTCCCAGGATCGAGCCCCGCTTCAGGCTCCCTGCTCAGCGGGATGTCTACCTTGCCCTCTACCCCTCACCTCACTTGTGTTCTCTCTCATTCTCTCTCTCTCAAAAAAAACCACCAAAAAACAAAAACTGAAACATTCCTGAGAAATTAAAAAAGATGAAATAAATGGAGAGCCATACCATGCTTATGGATCAAAAGACTAAATGTTATTAGAGCTCAAGTTGCCCCAGATTGACCTAAGATTCATTGCATTCCCTTCTAGACTCAGCAGGATTTTGTAGAATTTGCCAAACTGACTTGAAAATTTGTATGGAAATGCAAAAGATGTGGGATAGCCAAACAACTTTGAAAAAGAACTAAGTTAGAAGACTTAAACACTATCTGGTTTTAAGATTTAATTGTAAATTTATGGGGCACCTGGGTGGCTCAGTCGGTTAAGTGTCCAACTCCTGATCTCAGCTCAGGTCTTGATCTCAGGGTCAAGTTCAAGCCCCATGTTGAGCTCCACGCTGGGTGTGGTGCCTTCTTAAAAAAAAAATGATTTAACTATAAATTTACAGTAACTAGGGCAGTGTAGTATTGGTATAAGATGAGACAGATCCATGGTACAGAATAGAAAGTACACAAATAGATTACCACATTTTTTGGTCAGTTGGTTTCCACAAAGCTACTCAGATAATTCAATATGAAAAGGGAAGTCTCTCACTTCTATTGGGCATTTTACACCAAAAACTGCCAGAATCTTCTCCCTCTAGTCCCCTTCGGTGTATCAGAGAAAAACCAAAATAGTATAGATTCTTCTTATCAGCTAGAGAAGGAAACAAAGAAATGCTGCTTATCTTTTGTGGACCTGTTCAACAGACCTGGATATAGAGTAGCAGGATTGTAACATTACTTAATCTGGGAAAGCAATAATGAAGAAATCTAAAGCAGAGAAAATTTAGCTCTAGTAGTTGGGAAAAATGCCCCCAAAACCCCACAATTTCAATAAATTCATGTTTTTTTGTTTCCCAAACCTAATAAATAATAAGTGGCTTTAAAAGAAGGGTGTTGGGGCGCCTGGGTGGCTCAGTCGTTAAGCGTCTGCCTTCGGCTCACGTCATGATCCCAGGGTCCTGGGATCGAGCCCCACGTCGGGCTCCCTGCTCGGCGGGAAGCCTGCTTCTCCCTCTCCCATTCCCCCTGCTTGTGTTCCCTCTCTCGCTGTGTCTCTGTCAAATAAATAAAATCTTTAAAAAAAAATAAAAGAAAAGAAGGGTGTTATATTTACTGTTGTTAATATATGCAAGGCATTGTGCTAAGGAGCTTTATATAAGAATATACACACACACACATGCACATACACACACACACATTATATATATAATTCCTCACAATAATTGAATGAGATACAGTACTCAAGCTCATGTCATAGACCATGAAACTGAAACTTAGAGAATTATGGAACTTGTTCAAAGTCACATAGTGGTAAAGTCAATATTTGAACACTGACTACAGAATATTCTTTTAACAATTACGCTGTACGTGTTACAGATAAGAGCTAAAGGACTTCAATGGGAGCGCCCCAAAGTTAGCTAGACTAGTTGGAGAAGACCACATGATAGATGAGGCTTGAATAAGCCCTAAAATATAAATAATATTTATTTAAGCAAAGGGGAAATCAGAGTTAAATAAGAGCAGGGAAATAGAATAAGTGATGTCTTAAAGTTGAGACATCATATGTTCAGGAAATTGTAAAGATATAACAAATTTGAGATTAGTGGAACATGAATTGAAAAGGCCAGATGGTCTTCAATGCCAGTTTATAGAGTTGGTACTTTATTCTACAGGTGTGAGAGAGCTAACACCAGTTTTACTTTTTTAAGATTTTATTTATTAGAGCACAAGCAGTGGGGAGCAGCAGGCAGAGGGAGAGGGAGAAGCAGGCTCCCTGCCAAGCAAGGAGCTCAATGCAGGACTCGATCCCAGGACCCTGGGATCATGACCTGAGCTGAAGGCAGATACTTAACCACTGAGCCACCCAGGCGCCCTAACATCAGTTTTGAACAGGGGATAAGATGGATGACATGGGTATTTGAGAATATTTCATTCATGGGCATTATGTAAAATGCATTCAGAGAGAGGGTAGTTTAGGAGTTAAGGTGGTCTGGGCAGGAATGAAGAAAAGCTGAACAAAATAGGATGGGTTGCAATGGATATATGAAATACTTTGAAGTGGGTTTTGTTGACTAAATGGGAATGAGAGAAAGGAAGCCAATATTATTTGAATTTCAAACCTTTACTAGAAATAGGGAGTTGTGGGGCACCTAGGTGGCTTAGTTGGTTAAGCATCCAACTCTTGATCTCAGCTCAGGTCTTGATCTCAGGGTTCTGAGTTCAAGCCCTGTGTTGGGCTCCATGCTGGGCGTGGAGCCTACTTTAAAAAAAAAAAAAGAAAGAAATAGGGAGTTGTTTGGGAAAGAGAATATTTGAGAAGGAACATAATAAAGATTGATTTTCTTTATGTTTAGAAAGCATAGTGAACTATAGTTTGAAACTATAATGAAAAATTCAAGAAGAGGTATTCTGTGGGGAGGTAGAGATAAGGGATTAGAGTTTAAGAGTTTGAGAATAGAGATTAAGATTTGTGTGTACTCAGCATAAGCAAACTGAAACGTAAGCCAGTACCAGTTCACCAAGAGAAAAAAGCATATATGCAGATAAGAGAATGTTGCTCAGTATCTGCTAGAGTGTTAAAGGAAGAAGATAAGCCAGCAAAGGAGAGAAGCAGCACTCATCTAGAGTTGGAAAATACTTCTATGTGCTCATCTTCCTCTTCTATGTATGGGAATCCTCACTGTACCTCTCCACAATAATTTGGTGTATTTTCTTGCCTTGTTCATACCTCATTACTGTCTCTTTAAACCAACATGTCTAGATTTTCTATATACCTACCTCCCTTGCTTTATAATCATTTTTTAGGCTTTTTCAAAACTGACTAGTTCTAAATTGGATAGTAAGATATTTTCAAGGCCCTGAGTCCAAAGCTATATCTAATTTCAATAGCTTGTCAGGAGAATAAAACTAGGGGCACCTGGGTGGCTCAGTCATTAAGCGTCTGCCTTCAGCTCAGGTCATGATCCCAGGGTCCTGGGATTGAGCCCTGCATCAGGCTCCCTGCTCAGCGGGAAGCCTGCTTTTCCCTCTCCCACTCCCCCTGCTTGTGTTCCCTCTCTCACTGTCTCTGTCAAAGAAATAAATAAAGTCTTAAAAAAAAAAAAAGAGTAAAACTAGTGTCTCACCAGAATTTTAGCTACTCACCAGGAGACCCAGTCTCTAAAAATATATAAATACATTTATTTTGAAGCATGAGTTAATTCTGAATATTTTCTAATTGAATAACAGAATTCTTGTGGGTGGGGGGAGTTACAAGGGAAAGTTGGAGGAAGAAAGTTCCCGAGAACCAGAGAGAGAAAACAGATGTACTTTAAAATCATCGATCATGAAAGACAATATATAAAATATTTGTTGCATATTATAAGTTTCAGCCTATGCTGAAGCTAAGGCTGCTAGAATTGATAGGAAGGAGAAATGGATCTCCCTTCTGAGTACCTAGAAGTCTAAGCAACTGCCATTTTTTTTGTGTCTGAAAACGTACATATCAGGGCACCTGGATGGCTCAGTTGGTTGTGTCCGACTTTGGCTTAGGTCGTGATCTTGGGGTCCTGGGATTGAGCCCCACATCTGCCTCCATGCTCAGTGGGGAGACTGCTTCTTCCTCTGTGTCTCCCTCTCCCCACTCTCTGTCTCTCTCTCTTAAATAAAAAGGAAAAAAAAAAAAAACAGGGCGCCTGGGTGGCTCAGATGTTAAGCGTCTGCCTTCGGCTCAGGTCATGATCCCAGAGTCCTGGGATCGAGTCCCGCATCAGGCTCCCTGCTCAGTGCAGAGCCTGCTTCTCCTTCTCCCTCTGCCATTCCCTCTGCTTGTGCTCTTCTATCTCTCTGTCAAATAAATAAATAAAATCTTTAAAAAAAAAAAAAGAAAACGTTCATATCTAAAGTACTGTGAAAAGGAAGCATTTCTGTATTAGATAACACAAAATCCTGACTTTAAAAAAATGTCTAAATACAACCTTTCAATTTTTTCAGAGGAGACGCGAAAACGAGGCTTATTTCAATGGCTTGAGTCTCTTCAGATTGATAACACCACCTCTCCAGACCTGCAGCTCACTGTTGGAGCTGTGATTGTGGAGGAAATGAGAGCAGCCATAGAGAAGGAGACGGGCTTTCAGTGTTCAGCTGGAATTTCACACAATAAGGTGAACATGTACTTTCCTAAGAAGCAATCTGAAAAATCAGCAGAAAATGCTTATCTATATAGTTGTATCCAAAATATTTCCTTAATGACTGAACTATCTGTAGAAAGGAGGTTAATGTTAATCTTTGAATTTTATATACAAACCTATTTCTTTTCACTTGCTGAATATCCTAGTATTATCTCACTACCTTTGTGGTATTGCCTGAGTATTTTAGGCTTTTGCCTATTCCCTCCTTTCTAATGAGGAATAAGAAAGATGGAATAATAAAATTTTTTAATTTGGACCACTATTTTGATTTAGGGAATACAGACAATTGTCAATAATCCAGGGGCAGAATAACTGGTTTTCTTATTAAAGTACAGTGAGGGTCTGGGATCTTCGTCCCCTTCTGACTAGGCTCAATAATTGGGCAGTGGCTGATTATTCCTGGTTACTGCCTTTTCCCCCTTCCTCCAATTGCCAAACTATCCCACAGAGTTTTAGAATATTTTTCTGATTGGGTGAAGGGAGGGGAAACCAAAGTCCCACTGTAGTAGTTTAAATGAGACTAAATATTGCCTAGTACAAGTTCCAGAGAATCTCTCCAGTGAATTTAAAGGATGATTTTATACTTTTCCTACCAATTATAATTTGTGAAATGATACCACTGAAGCACCTTATTCTTTCAAAAGAGTTCTCAAGGATTTAAGGTTTTTTTTGTTTTTTTTTTTTAATTTTGAAGTCTTGTTTCTAGCATAAGATGTTTGCTATTGGAGGATGGTTTTGAGTCCAATCTCGTATCACAGAAACTTAAATTATGGTAAACTGTGTTAAATCCAGGACTCAAAATGGACTAACCATTAATCAAGAAATATAAATAAATGGAGTAGGGTAAAACAGGTTGGTTTCAGCATTTTTATATGGACATACTAAGAAATGCATCTTACAGAAGTTTCTTCTGCAGCTTCTCTAGGCTTTTCACCCTTTTGAAGTGGGAGAACCTTAAGGAATAGATGGGGATAGAAAAAATGACTAAAGGAAAACTGAGAATAGAAGATGTGGAAAGAATAATGAGGATGCTGATAATGGGTCATAGTTTCCACTGAGGATGTTGTGGGATACCAAATTTTAGAGATCTTGAGTTTCTGGTTTTGTTTTTGGTTTTAATGTGGAAACCATTAGTTACAGCCCTTAAGCTGTGCCTGTGTTTGTTTGTGTGTGTTAATATTCACCAACTCTCTGTGGGGGTGAGGTTGTCAGTAATGAAGTTTTTATGCTTTCCATACTCCAGGTCCTGGCAAAACTGGCCTGTGGACTAAACAAGCCCAACCACCAGACCCTGGTCTCACATGGGTCAGTCCCACAGCTCTTCAGCCAAATGCCTATTAGCAAAATGTAAGTATTCAGGGAGTACCTTCAGTTTCACTCATATACTTTGTGAGGGCACTCTCTGTTTTTTTCTGTTCCTTATGAAAGACTGGAGCCAGGAAAAGTAGGTAGCCAGGAAAGTAGAAGGGAGATAACACAGGAGATTTTGAAAAACACAGACTTTTTTTCCTAATGAACCTTCAATTCTGTATTATCTGTGGAAGTTACTTAATCCTGAATTTTAAAAATGAACTGGTTTTTAGCTGTATATTTAATTTCCCTCTAGCCTTTTTATTCATGTCTGTTACTAAATAACAAAACAAATAGAGATTTTACTTCCTATTTTTCTTCTAATATGATATCAAGGTGTTCAGGGCTGCTGAACTGCTCCCAAACTAGGTATGAGAGAAAAAGCCAAATAAAATGAATAACTAGGCTGTGCATACCAATGTGGGTCCTTGGCAAGGGTGTATAATATCGTGGAAGGGACAAGATGTAACAGTTGAAAGCAACAGTGAAAGTGCTATCAAGACTGTAACATGAGTGAGGCGCCTGGGTGGCTCAGTTGGTTAAGCGTCTGCCTTCGGCTCAGGTAATGATTCCAGCCCCACATCTAGCCCACATGGGGCTCCCTGCTCAGCTGGTGGGGGGGTTCTTCTCCCTCTCCCTCTGCCAGTCCCCCCTCCCCCGGCTTGTACTCTCTGGCTCTATTACTGTCAAATAAATAAAATCTTAAAAAAAAAAAAGACTGTACATGAGTAGTTGCTAAATGAGTTGGACGGGTAGTTATCAGAGTTCATAGAAGAGAAATCTGAGGATTTATGAAAAAGACATGAGATTTTGTCTTGTCAGATGAGAATTGATAAGCAATTCTGATTTCAATAATGTTTTGAACACAAAGCGGGGAAAAGTATAAGGTATTTTCAGTGAGCTGGGACATAAACTAGTTTAACTGGACCAAAATGAAGAAGATATGTGCTAGAAATAGGACTGAAAAGGTAGGTTGATGACAGATTAAAGGAAGCCTCAAGGGCCAAGCTTAAGAATTATTGTTATATTCTTGTTTTTTTTTTTTTAAGATTTTATTTATTTGACAGAAAGAGAGAGAGCACAAGCAGGGGGAGCGGCAGGCAGAGGGAGAAGCAGGCCTCCCCACTGAGCAGAGAGCCCAACTCCGGGCTTGATCCCAGGACTCTGGGATCAGGACCTGAGCCAAAGGCAGACGCTTAACTGGCTGAGCCACCCAGTGCCCCTGAGGTTAGAATTTTAATCCCTCAATGGGACAGTAGATCCTGTACAATTGAAAGTTTTATATACAGTTGACTTGAAAACTAATCAATGACTTTGTTTTTTTTTTAAAGATTTATTTTTATTTATTTATTTGACAGAGAGAGACACAGTGAGAGAGGGAACACAAGCAGGGGGAGTGGGAGAGGGAGAAGCAGGCTTCCCGCTGAGCAGGAAGCCCTGGGATCATGACATGAGCCGAAGGCAGACGCTTAACGACTGAGCCACCCAGGTGCCCCTAATCAATGACTTTAACCTTTTGTTTATGCTATTGTTAATCTTCCCAGGTCCTAACTCCCAGAGTATTTGAATTTCCAGAATCATTCAGTCTTATACTAGAAAATTAATAGTTTACAGGACTGACTCTCATTTTCCCCGAATCCTCTGGAGAGCTATTTACACAAGCAAAATTTCTTATGTCTGCTGCTAACCAGATATTTATATTGTGACCTATAAATTCTTTATCTCTTTTGTTAGCCGTAATCTTGGAGGAAAGCTGGGTGCCGCTGTCATTGAAATCCTGGGGGTGGAATACATGGGTGAACTGACTCAGTTCACTGAATCCCAGCTTCAGAGTCATTTTGGGGAGAAGAATGGGTAAGTGATTCCTAATACTTTTCAATCATAACCTTTATGGAGATGCTAAATTCAAATATGGACAAAAGCATCCAGTAAAATTTAGACCTATCTTTAAGTTAACATTTGTTCCTCGAGGTAATATCATTGGTCCTTTTGCTTTAAAATATTAAATCACTGTGGCCTGTCAGTCTAGAGTAGTTTTTCATTTACCTAAATAGGTTGATAGGCTTGGGTATATACATCATTTTTGTGTGCTAAAATGCTGATAATTCCCTTAAAATCTTTGTAAGTAAGTACCAAAAAACTTGGGGATATGAATCAGTGGTTTGCTTGGCACTTTTCCAAAAATACAAATGATGACTTGACTTTAAAAAGCATAACCAAGTGTTCCTCTCCTTGGCAATATATTGCACTAGAATTCTTTGGGAAGGGCAGGGATTCTGTCAGAGGTGAAGTATACTTAATTTTGGACATATTTTTCCTTTTCCATGAAGGAGATAAAAGGGTAGCGCAATGTAGGTATTTTATTTTAACAAAAATAAGCGTTTGCTTTCACCTTAAAGTTTTTTTGCTGCTTTTATTAGGTCTTGGCTATATGCCATGTGCCGTGGGATTGAACATGATCCAGTTAAACCCAGGAAACTACCTAAAACCATTGGCTGTGGCAAGAACTTCCCAGGAAAGACGGCCCTGGCTACTTGCGAACAGGTAGGCAGGCATTCTTGACGAGAACATTGCCTCTTTTACAGGGGTTAGTGGGTAGGTTTTGATAACTGCAGAAAGTTTAATAAGTTAGATGGGACCTTTCGGTTGTGAAGTATGAAGGTCTTTTTTTGTGTGTGTTGAAAATGGAGCTTGATTTATTATTTTTTCCACCCAAAAAGAAATAAAATGGAACTAACTGAAGTTCGAAATGGAATTACTCAGTTTTTGAGTAGGTGGTAACTTGGAAGGCCTGGGATATTATGCCCCAAGTTTGTGTGTGTCCTTTTTTCTCAGAGCTGAAACATGCCTGAAGTTCACCTGATGGCATGCCAGCCAGAAAAGAAAATGAAAATCTTGAGCTAGAGCAGGTCAGAAAATTTCTATAATCTGGTGATCCCTTGGTTATGGGGGAGATTTTATTGTACACTTATATTTGTGGGAGAGCTGAACAAATCCTCCATCTAGTACTATAACAAACCTAGAATTTTTAAATGAAAGATTAAAGTCTCAACACTTTTTTAGGTCCAATGGTGGCTTTTGCAATTAGCCCATGAACTAGAGGAGAGACTAACCAAGGACCGAAATGATGTAAGATTTTCTTTCTTTATTCTTGGGGTGAGCTTTGGGATTTAATTACCAGTTGTTAATTACCTGAAAGAGGAGTAGAGACAAAGATAGAAAAAGATACCAGATTAGGAAATTTTTTTTTAATATATATATTTTTTAATTTGACAGAGACACAGCGAGAGAGGGAACACAAGCAAGGGGAGCGGGAGAGGAAGAAGCAGGCTTCCCGCGGAGCAGGGAGCCCGATGTGGGGCTCGATCCCAGG